TAAGGGGAAGTGGCCCTCTTTCTCTTTCCACCTTTTTTTTCCAGAACATGAACATTTGGGGATTTTGTACAAGGTTGTTGGAGGTCTTCCACCATCAACCCTAAGTAAAAGGGGTGTGTACTTTTCTGTTTTCCTGTATCCCCACTCAAAAATAGTGTGGGGGCTACCAGCGTCTTCAGCGCTGATTCAGTTTTGCATTCTTTTGCTGTGATTCTGTTCATCAGGCATCTAAGTTCCCCTTCTGCTTCCACTTCTGCCTAGTGAACACAGCAGCCTTAGGAATGCAGCTACCCTTCCCAAATAAGCTCAGCCCCCTCAGGAGTGAAATTGATGAGAAATGAGATTCTCTGCGGTCTAGTCAATTCCTGCCTTTCTCCCAAAGTAGGACTGCTGTAGTTATGCATAGCTGGAATGGAGCAGGGAGGAAGGGAACAGAGGCTTCTCCTCAGGTTCTCAAGATCTCAAAACTAAAGTGAGCTTTTTAACAACACTGAGAATTAACCTGGTTCTGTGTTTCACGACCCGTGGTATTCTTGGCTCTCTCTCTCCCAGTTCTTCGGAGGATCCAAGTGACCTTTCTGGACACAGTGATACGTGTCGAACACGAGCCTAACGGAGGGCAGGCCAGTATGGCCCTTGAGGTGCATATCAAAAGGTAACATTTTCTATTACCATAATCTTTCATTAGATTTTTTTTTGGGGGGGTGGCTTGATGAGAGTGCTTTTTGTACTGAAAAACATTCTCCAGACTTGGGCGGGTGGAAAGAAGGCAGGAAGTGGAGGGAAGAGTTCTGTCTGTCCTGCTCACTTGTCTAGTGTTCTAGGTGTTGGACTGCAAATCCCATCATCCCTTGTCACTGGGTGTGGTAACTTAGGCACGAGATTGGGAAGTTACTTTAAAAAGTAATTTTGCATTAAAAAATAGAGATTGTAAGTTACCGTTGTAATTTATTTTTTTAAAAAAAAAAAGCTTGGAAGCTTAAAAGTAACTGAAATGTACTCTTAGTTGAACCTAAGTAGAGAAGGGCACTTACCGGGGTTTGGCACAGACTGAGACCACAGGCGCTGGGCAGGCGCCCACTCAGAGGAGGCGAGGGGGGGCCGGGAAGCTTGTGGCACTGTTTCTGCAGGAAGAGGCTGGGTGCAGAATCTGGGGCACCTGCCCAACACCTGTGGGGCCAATCCGCCCATCTCTGGTTGCAAGCTGCCAACCTCTGGTACACAGCAGGCTTTCTTCACATCTGGCTTATTGTTTCCATACCCGTATTGAAGCACAAGGGCCAGTGTTTGCCCCATACAATCTTCCACTTGCACCATCCATTGGCTGAAACCCTGTTGTTTCGCATAGTCTGTTGCGCTAGAGTAGGCCCTCGAAATCAGTGAGAATTTGGTGAGTCAACTCCACCTTCATTTGCACTTATTCCAATGGGCCTCTTGTAGCAGTGACTTATTTTAACCCAGTAAATTGCAACTGCGGGTGGCGCTGCGGGTTAAACCGCAGAAGCCTCTGTGCTGCAGGGTCGGAAGACCAGCCGTCGTGAGATCGAATCCACCCGACGAAGGGAGCTCCCGTCACTTGTCCCAGCTCCTGCCAACCTAGCAGTTCGAAAGCATGTAAAAATGCGAGTAGATAAATAGGTACCAACAGGATGGGAAGGTCACGGCGTTCCGTGTCTAGTCGCGCTGGCCACATGACCACGGAAACGGTCTACGGACAAGCGCTGGCTCTACGGCTTGGAAACGGGGATGAGCACCGTCCCCTAGAGTGGACTAAATCTCAAGGGCAACCTTTACCATTACCTCAATTGCAACTAGAGGAGGACCTTTTGAATCAATTGAACAGTTGACTCAGCAAATCCTCAGTGGTCCCGAGGACCTACTCTAGTGCAACGTACAATGCTAAGCAACAGGATTTTAGCCAGTGAGACCAAAATCTTGCAATTATAAAAGTCATTAAAAAGTTACAATTATTCCCCCACAAGAGCTAAAGTTATTCCTTGTTTCAGGACAGCCACAAGAAAAAGGAATGACTTTCACCTAATTTGTTGTTTGTAGCTAGGGACCTCCAACAAAAAGCTTTTGTGGCATATGGAAGGTTGAGCAAGTTTTACTTGGCGTAACTGTTCTGCTGGAGCCTCCTTCTTGAGATGCAGAGAACGTGGTCTCCGTAAAGCACCGATTCCCAGCATCTGGGTCCCCAGATGTTCTTGGGCTAAAACTCCCGGAAGCCTTTTCACCCCTTGCTGTGCTGGCCAGGATTTTTTGGGAGCTGTAGTCCAAGATAATGTGGGTTACGCAAGGTTGGGAAGCATTGCAGTCAAGGCTAGGAGGGGCTGAGTAGAGGCCACTGAGGCCAGAGTCTGTGCACCTGAAGAAATGACTGCAGTCCCACAAAAGCAGATGCAAAATGAAATTTGTAGTATTTCAAAGAGTCCGAAGACTCTTTTTGGTTGTTGTTACATTCTGCTGTCTGCCTCTCTAGGAGGAGGCACTTCCAAGCTCTCTTCAGCACTGCTGGGAGTTGCAGTTCAATCCTATCTGGAGGATCAGGGGTTCCCTACTCAAGAGCTACAATCCTTCTTGGGAAGGGGTTACGATGGTGCTGAGAAGGGAAGCTTGGCCAGTCAACAAAGAAGGGTGGCTTTGGAACTGGCCAGTCCCCCTGCTTCCCGGCTGAGCTGTTGCCGCCTTGGCCATCCTCACCATCTGTTCCCCCCCCCTCCTCAGGCTGGACTATTGTGACGAAGCGGTGAAGGACCCTGAGCAGGACCTACCTGTTGACATCCACCAGCCTCCGCCATTCGTGCACAAGATCCTGCAGCTGAGCGGTGTCCTGTTCTACTATGAGGATTTCTCGGAGGGGAGTGGCTCTGCGCCATCCCCTGTCCCAAAGGTATGTCCACGTGGGGCTGACCCAAAGCCAGACACCCCCGCTCCTCCCACCAACTCCGGGCCCTTCCGATTTATCCATCCCCAGCCGGCTGTGAGGGGTGGGAGTCATGGTCTGGTCCATTCAGGTAGGGCTGGAACCCCCCATCATTCTTGCCACGGCCGTAGGCTCGCTCTGTTTAGAAACACCCTGATCTTCTCCCGCTCACTCAGGAGGAAGCGGAGCCATCTGCCTGCCGAGAAGAGGAGGCCTCCTCCAGCCCTTTGCTTCAGATCGGCAGCTGCTCCGGATACACAGAGATGAGAATCAAGCTGAAGCAGAATGAGGCCTTTCCCGGACCCAAGGTCAGCCAGACAGAGGTGGTTGGTTCATTGGCTAGGTTCCTTATCAAGCTTTTTCTCCAAAGAGCTCCGAGCAGCTTGCCATGTTCCTTGGCAGCAAGACTCTGCAAAGGGGGTTAAGCCACCTGGGTTGCTTTCGGGAATTTGAACACAAGGCGTCTCCGTCTTTGTCTAACCTGCTAGTCCCACGGCAGGGACAGCCGGCACGTGTGGTCTTCCAAAAGCTGTTGGGCTGGAGCTCCTCAATGCATTGGCCTCTGAGGGGGATGGGACTAGCAGCCCACTGGCATCAGGCGAGCCTCAACTTAGGCCACCCTCCTGTGCTAGGCCCCACGCGGACTCTCCACTCTGAGGACGGGCGGACGGCGCCCCTCAGCTTACGTTTACAAGTTTTTTCTGGGAGATCTAGATCTCTTGGAGGAGCAGAAGGTGGAGAAATTACTTTTCAGCCGTGCCGGCCAGGGGTTTGTGGGACGACTTTTTCCCAACGTCCCTTTTTCCTGTATCTGGGTTTTTGGAGTCGATCCCTCCCTCGACAGCCTTGCTTCTGCTCCAGAAGGAGAAGGTTCCTCAAAGTGCTCCCCTGGGTGTCCTTCCAAGGGGGATTAGGTCCGTTTGTGGAGAGTTGACCCATCCTTGGCTGCACTTCAGGATAACTGGACAGAGAGTCTCTGCAGGGGTGAGATGGGGCCGGGGGGGGGAGCAGCATGAGGGGAAGAAGTGTAGACCCTGCTATTTCTCCCTCCAAGGAGCATGCACACACACATTTTTTTTAAAAAACGAAAAACTCCTCTTGTGTCCTCAGAGACTGCGGAAAGGAACATTTCCATGTTTTGGGGGGATTCCAGCATTCCCCTGCCCCACCATTTAAATTTTTTTTTGGGGGGGGAACACACTAGTGGACAAAAGGGAATTTTTCCAGCTAAACCTTCCCCATACTTTTGCAAAGAAAAAAAACAGCCTTTGGGGCTAGAGATGACAGGTGTGTCCCCTTCCCTGCAGATCCAGGGATGGGCACCCTGCTCTTGGGTCATTCGGGGCCAGCGATGCATCCTACAGGCTGGGGCAGGAGGAGGAGACCCCTTCCGCCCTTGTGAAAGCTGAGGTCTCCCTAGTGAGCAAAATCCTAAGTGGTGGGGATCCAGTCGTCCCTCCCCCAATAGGCCTGCAGGTTCTCCCTCCCTCCCCGGTGAGCCTTGCCAGAGTGTGATGGAGGGAAAACTTGCAGGTGGTGGCCTGGCGGGGAGGGGTGGACAGGACCGGATCCCCACCGCTTAGGATTTTGCTCACCAGACAAGCCCTCGGACTTGTCACAGCTGTATAATGGAAGCTATTGGAGGAAGGAATTCTTTGTTGTTCCCCCCACCCACCACCCACCGTAGCAGCCTTTGGTCTGATGCAGCAGAAATTTTCTTGGGGGGGGGGAGAAAGATGGAAGTAATGCTCCTCATAATCATGTGGTTTTTTGCAAGTCCTGAGGTACTCTTTAGACCCCCTGCTCCCTTTGTAAAATACGGCCCCAAACAGTGAATGGTGCCCCCCGGCAGGAGTCGTCCTCCTGTAAAACAAAGCACGCACCCTGCACCTTGTTTTCACATTTAGAAACATGTTTTCTGAAAACTGGACCTTCTGGTCCCTTCTGGTTTCCTCTGAAAGGCCTGAGGCAGCCTGTGGGAGTTCAGCATGGTGGCCACTACAAGATTGTTCTTGGGGCCACTGCAGGTGACCACGCCGATACAAGGATCTGCTTCCTTTCCACTGGGTCAGGATGAAGACTGGGAAGTGGAGCGGGGGGATGTTTCACTTTTAAAGATGCCACCGTGCCCAGTTGGTGTGGTCTCTGTGTGTGTGGCGGGAGAAGAAGCTTCCGTTTCCTCCCCGCGTACCTCCTCTTCCTTTCTCGTGTCGGCCGCTCTTGTCTCTCAAGGCAGGCAAGGACTTTTCTTCTCTTTGAATGTTCTCTGCCTCCCCGCAGCTGGAGTTGGATGGCAAGGCGGGATCGCTGCATCTCTTGCTGGCCCCTAAGCAGATCTTTTATTTGCTAGACCTTCTGACGTCTCTGAACCTCTCAGGTGAGCCTTGCCAGAGTGAGATGGAGGGAGATCCGTCAGGTGGAGTCCTGGTGGTGGTGGTGGTGGGGGCTGGATCCTCACCTCTTGGGATCTTGTTCACTAGAGATGCCGCTGCTTGTGCTAAACCGGCCCAACTGTGTCAGACATCTCCTGCAAACCCCCCCACAGCCTTTTGGCTCTGGTTTTATGGGGAGTGCCCTCCAGCACATCTGGAGGAACCCGGGGCAGAGCTGTTGAACTTAACACCTTGGGAGAAGTGCCTCAAGCCTTTTCCTAATCCATTTTTCTTCTTCTTCCCTTTGCCGCCAAAGAACCCAGTACCCTGAAAGAACAGCTGAGCAAGAATCGCCCCCTCGACTCGGAGGACTTGAAACTCATTGAACAGGACCTCAGCCAGCAGCTGCATTCGGGCTTTGGGGCCCCGGCCTCCCGTCTGGAGGGAATGGAGACTTGTGCTGGACTGGAGAACGGAGGTGACTGTTTGGGGGGGTGGGGCGGGGAAGGGCTTAGGCAGGTTTGGGAGGGGCCTCTCCTCTGCTCTACCTTCTACTGCCATCAGAATTGCTAAAAGATTTGAATCCCCCCCCTCCAGCATGCTTCCTTCTGAAGGAGTCTAGATCTTGACTTCTCGGTTTATAGAGTCGTGGAATTGTAGAGCCGAAAGGGGCTTTTGGAGATCATCTAGTCCACCTCCTGCCACCGCAGTACTGTATTTCAAAGGCATGGGTGTCTTGAGCACTCGAATAAGTCCCATCCAGTTCAAAGTATGCCAGCTGCTCTCTGTGTTTCCCAAGGGAAATCTGTGAAATTGCTCCACCACATGCCTTTCATTTCCTTCCTCTTTAGATCTGGCTTGAGAGGGGTAAGAATTTCATTTCAGTTCATTCCTGTTCAGAGTTTCCCAAATACTCATGAAATCATTAAATGGAAAGAGAAATGAGCAGGAGAAAGGAATTGTGGGAGGATCCAGGAGATTCCTCCATCCAGGCCTAGGACTTGGAGTGTTTTGTAAACAGCTGGTTTGGAATCCCAAAAGTTCTTCCCCGGATCCTGAGTGGTCCCCAACCT